GCAAAGTCAAATGGCACAAGACAGTTGTAAATTTCTAAAAGATTCCCTTTTTTACAAACTATGTCCGATTATCCAGAAAAAATGTACATACTTAGACCTTAATGCGTATAGTCACATTCCTTAAAATGGTTAATATATTGCTATAGTTGCGTTTCCAGGGATTAACTTTCTGTCTGACTATAGTCAGTATGGGCAGTATACTGTCCATAGTGCGGCCTAGGAGGCGACCTATAGAAACTTGCAATGCATCTGCATTTTACAGCCTCATTTTAGAAAATGCAAGCATAAATCGTACAGTCGAGTTTAGCAAATGATCATATAACATTGAAGTTCCAACTTCAAAATCACGGCAAATTTGTGCTATTATTTACGGTACAGTTTACAATTATCAAACAATCTTATGCTGACTTATTTCCAAAAATGTAAAAGATTATTCTGACAAAAATACGAACACAAAAATCGAATCCTTACCCAGTTTGTCTAGTAACTAACTTTTTTTCATATTTGCTTTGATGAAAAGAGTCCATATCGCTTTAATAATTGACATTGGCAGGACATTTGGCCTTTAGAATACTTAAAAGCTTTTTATCATGTAAGAAAAGGTTGATAAGAAGCAAAAACATGGTCGTTAAGTTGGTAGTTATTATTTGCTAGTATACTAACAGTAGCTATTAATACACAAATATACTAATACAAGTTACCGTGCTTTTGAGGGCTCATTGCCCATTTTGAAAATTGCGCTGTTACCAGACGTTAAACAATCTCGAAGTGGAGGCCCTTCGTCATTGAGAGTAATGTTGGTAGAATATTAAGGCTCTCTTGGCCGCATTTCAAATTTGCAAACTCTAACACAGTGGAGAATATGTATTGAGAATCTGTGAATATCGCGAAACTAATCCTATTACCGAGACGCCTACGGGTCACACGAGATGAGGGCGCTTAAAGGCGTGACCACATCAATAGCGAACCGTGACTTGCGAGAACACCAAAATTAAAGAATGCGAAGATGTGTCATATAAGGTGCAGAAACAGCGAAAAGCCTAACCAAAAGAAAAAAATGATGTCGCCAGCAAGTTCAGTTTAGCCCATCGGCTATGGTAGATGAGAAAACACAACAGGAGCCTTATGTTATAATCAGCCTTGACAGACACCACAGGGCATTAAGTCGACGAAAGACTCGAACCAGAAAGGAGGTTATGAAGAACGTCGTCGTTCTCTGGCAAAAAATTCTCAGAAGGTCAAACTATAGGTTACTGTGACCGCCAACATCTGCTGGCTCATATCGCTTCAGTTCATAGAGGGAAATACGCGCTAGCACTTGAATACCCTTTATACAGCGTAAAATTAAGCGAGGTATGAAAAAATTATTTGGACTGATATTTAAAATGTTAATAGTAGTATAGGACGTAGCCATGAGCTTTAAGATTTGGGCTCGCTCCCTCATCACGCCTGCTCAATTCGGAACACAAATATGTCAAAGTACCCTTGAAAGCTTTTTATCTACGGTAGCGCCATAGCATTTGGGGGGGGCCTCCCATAGTTTGACCACTCCGAATGAGAAAATTAAGTTCCGCAGTCCAATCTTGCCCTTTAGATATGCAGTCTCAATGGCCAACTTTGGAATTTGGTGATGGTGGGAAATTTATCAATGTTCTTGGAGGCCAGTCCGTAATCTATGCCATTTGTAATACGAAACACTGATAAAGTATTCTTGCGTAGTTACTTAATACTCAATGAAAAAAGGTTTAGATTTATTTAGGCGGATTGTATTGGGAAGGGAGCTCCGAGTCCTGACTATTTTCGTAGTTTACCTTGAAACTCTTAAGATTAATTTTATCTTAAATAGTCCATGGTCTCCATGCTTGTATGCCGTATTCCAAATACTGCCTCCCAAATGTTCTGAAGATCTTAGAGAAGAGGTCTTCGTCCCACAGCTAGTTCCTGTTCTTCAATCTGAACAAATATACCATATTGTGCCTGGGAAATCAGACCTCTAGTACGCGGCAATACCATCTGGACGAAATGGCACTCCGAGAGGCGGGAAGGCAGAAAACTCTCGGAATCTAGGTTACAAACAGCCTACAGCCTTCTACACAATGTTGTAAGGCGGCCAAGGCCGTAATTTCAATGCTATATGCCACCAAGCGGACGTTCACAGTTTTCGATGATGACTATTTCTCCAAAGTCTTTGGCACGTTTTTAAGGTCGCATCTCGAATACGTAATCCAGGCCTGGAGACGTGGACGCAACAGGATTACAATCTGCTCGGAAGGGTGCAGAGGCGAGCAGAAAATTTAATAAGAGGTAAAGGTGCACTGCCATACGAGATCCGCCTAAATAACCTTAGTCTCTATCCTCTGAATTATAGGTAGTTGCGCGGAGACTTGATACAAACTTTCCGTATCGTGCGTGGCTTGGACTGCGCCCTTCAGTGCGACGACTTTTACAAACTCGCCACTACAACTAACCTCCGGGGATATCCCTTCAAAGTGCATGTGCCCCAGGATAGATTGAACGTGAGAAAGTATTTCTTCTCTAACCGTGTAATGGAACCGTGGAATAACCTGCCCGAGACGGTTGTCATATCTCAATCTGTGGAGACATTTAAATGTCGGCTTAATAGATATATGCTAGAGCAACAAGCGGGCAATGAGACTTTTTTAGCCATGAGACCAGTGAAATATGTGAATAAATATCTGCATTCACTTAATGATGTAATTTTTTAAATTTTTTTTATTTATCGACTTTCCTATGTATAAATAGGGAGTCCAAAGGCGTAAGCCTATTCACCTCAAATACCCTGACTGACTTATGCTTGCTTGGTGTCGTGCCACTCTGGATCAACGAGTGGGTGGTTTCAAGGAGTGCGCTATCGGTACACTGAGGTCCTGTTTGGCTTCCACGTCTTGTAAAACCACTTCCTCGACAAAGTAGTTTTTGTGCCGGCGGAATTGCTTATTTGCCTAGACGAAGTTTTCCAGGGCTTTCGTAAAGCAAACTCAGTCACATCTGCAGATCTGACCCACTAAACCTGATTTTCCTGATAGACGTGGAAGTGAGAGTTCTGAAGGCATTCCAGATTGAAATAAGTGACGAGGGCAAGTCTCGAGCTCAGCGACCACGGCCTCTCAAAATTATACCGGAGTACAAAGAGCAAATAAAGTACATCTTACCAAAAGGCCGACCTCTGGAGTTCGCATAAATTTCTTTTTAACCAGATCATCCTTTTCAGAACAGCTAAAAACAGGTGTAATCTTGTTTAGCCCAGGGGCACCATGCCTGAAGACAATATTCAACATTAGCGAAAAAATGTTCCAAAAACTTGGACGAAAAGTTCGTTATCAAAAATGAGGAAGGATCTGTCGGGTGATGGTATGGTCGACGAGACAGAGGTTCCCAAATCAGAAGTCAGGGAAGACTGTTTGAGACGGACAACCTTTACTGCTGTACATAAAGGCTGTGTAAGCAGTTGCCGTGGGCGCGCTGTCCAAGCAATTTGGGCTACCTGTGTCCGCCTTTGGGGTGCTCAGACACGGCACTTGTGTGCGCCTCCCGTTGTCGCAGCGTCCGTCAGCCAATCAGAGGAGGGACAGTGTCTGTTGGCCTGGAGCACTCACGAAGCTAGTGACAAGCTTCGCGCGTCCCAGCAGCGTATCAACATGGAATTTTAGAAGGACAGGAAGGCGGCATTACCTAGGATACCAACGGCTTTTTGATATCTTGGCACGGTGAGGCAATGATTTGCGTATTGATGTCATTCCCACACCAAGGTCTTTTAACTCACTGGCCGATACGAGTTGGTAACCTCTATAGTGTACTGAGATTCAAAACTCAACGGCCTCCTTTCGCTAGATCGTAATCGGATAGGTTGACATTTGTTGAGGTCGAGGTTAAGACACCACTCATCACATCACTGTTGTAAGCGATTCAAATTAGATAGATAGATGATTTTTATTAAATACCCGTCGGGGTCCCATCAAAGCTGTAACCGAGTCTTCCGGTTTCCGGATTTCCAAAACTTGAGATCATCAGCAAACATTAGGCGCTCGCAGTTCCGACAGTCCAGGCAGTCGATCACATATATTAAGGACAGAGTTGGGCCCAGAACGCTCCCCTATGGAACGTCAATGTGAACGGATGCGCCTTCCGATTTAGCGTTACCGATACACATATACTGAGATCTGACTGCAATAAAATCGGTTAACGTGTTCAGCAGATTCCCATTCACGCCGATTTGTCGTGGTTCAAATATAAGTCGTCTGTGTGGAACAATATAATAAGACTTTTTGAAGTCCACGTCCCCATTTAGATTGATTTCGTTTAGTTCTTCATGGATACTAGCAATTTAGTAAGACAGGATTGACCTGTCGAAAGTTGTTGGTGGTCGACAAGATACAGATTCCCAATCAAAAGTCAGGGAAGACGGTTTGAGTTGGACAACCTTTACTGCCTGAGAAAGTGCGTACACAAGGCTGTGTGGGCAGTCGCCGCTAGCGCGCTCCAAGCAAGCTGTTGTCTGCGTCCGCCCTCGAGGTGTTGTGTCAGCGCGTGTGTGCGCCCTTCGTTGTCTCAATCTCGCCAGCCAATCAGAGTGGGGGCAGCGTTGATTGGCTTCGAGCACTCGCGCATCCCATCAGCGCATCGACAAGGAGTGTGAGGCGGACAGGAGGGCAGCGTGACAAAGACGGAAAGCGAGGAGACGCGAACTGCTACAGTACGCCCCGGCTAGACTGAAGGTGGCGCGTAGCGATACCGAAGGAACTGTTGATGTCTAAAAAACATGAGTAACGAAACGGTCAGGAAAGTGAACATGGCGTCCACTACGGGTGATATATACAGGGGGCACAGGAGTAGAGTGAGTATGGCTCGCGGTTACAGTGTTGCTGGTTGATGAAGTAGTAGTTGGAGTTGTGGGTTGCGGACATGGGGGCAGAGGAAGTATACGGTACGGTGGAATAGAGGGTCGGAGAGGCGGAGCAGGGCGTAGGAGACCACAGGGCTCATCCGGAGGAGTGTCCGGGACGGCAGCTTTGAGACGGTCCATGCTCACGACCTCCTCGCGAGTGCCCGCGTTGGATGCGGAAGTTCTTCGTCCCACGAGAGATAACTCGGAAGGGACCATCGTAGGGTGGTTCCAGGGGCCTGCGGACTCGATCACATCGGAGATAGACGTGAGAGCATGTCGCCAAATCTTTCTCGAGGTAAGATTCGGAGACGGATGGCCTGGGCGGAACCGGAGAAAGTGTCCACAGGAATTGCCGGAGGCGATGCAGGAGGTTGGTGGGATCCTCAACTGCCACTAGCGGGGTTGGCGAGATCATCTGACCGGGAAGTCGGACGGTGGCACCGAACACGAGTTCAGCGGCAGAACAATCAAGGTCCGACTTGAGGGAGGAGCGAATGCCCAAGAGGACAAGGGGGAGGTGGTCTGTCCAGTTCTCCGGATCGTCTGCGGCGCGTAGGGAGGCCTTCAGCTGACGGTGAAACCGCTCGACCATCCCGTTGGCTGCCGGATGATAGGCTGTAGTGCGGATGCGAGTACAGCCTTAAAATGAGAGTAAAGACTGGAAGAGGTGAGATTCAAATTGGGCACCACGGTCAGTCGTGATAATGGAGGGAGCACCGAAAATGGCAACCCAACGACTGAGGAAAGCCTTGACGACCGTTGGATCTGCGACATCAGGCAGTGGAATAGCTTCTGGCCACCGGGTGAATCGATCCACGCAGGTAAGGGGATAGGAGCAGCCATTGGACAGAGGCAGTGGGCCTACGATGTCCAGGTGGATATGACTGAACCGTGCGTCCGGAGTAGGGAAGGTGCCAATGGGAGTTTTGTTCTGCCGTCGGACCTTATTCCGTTGACAGCCGAGACACGCCCGTGTCCATGCTTTCAGGTCCTTATGCATTCCAGGCCAGACGAAGCGGTCGGAAACCAGCTTGTCGGTTGCTCGACTCCCGGGGTGAGACAGATTGTGCAGGGAGGAGAAAACTTTGCGGCGGAGGGATGGTGGCGCAAATGGACGATGGGAAGGGGTGGATACGTCGCATAAAATGGTGCCGTTGCCAGTCATCAGTGGTAGTTCCTGAAGTTGGAGTCCGGAAACATCCTCATCACAGGGTGGACCGACACGGTGTTGTTCAGCGGCCATCTCAGCGAGGTCTATCCCGGGTGAAAGCTGAAGATGAGCAAAAGAGGGCCTTGAGAGTGCGTCAGCCACCTCATTCAGTGACCCGTCAATATGGCGGATGTCTGAAGTGAACTGCGAAATGTGGTCCAGGTGACGGATCTCCCGGGGGCTTAGCTTGTCAGAGTGGGAATGTATTGCAAACGTGAGTGGCTTATGATCAGTGAAAATTGTGAACTCTCGACCTTCGAGTAAATGCCGGAAGTGCCTTACGGCAAGATAAGCGGCGAGAAGTTCACGTCCGAATGTGCTGTAGGGGGTTTCGGCCTTGGACAGTTTCTTGGAGAAGAAAGCCAAAGGCACGGTAGAATCCGGCAGACTTTGTTGAAGAACCGCGCCAAAAGCAACATTGGAGGCATCGACCATCAAAGATATGGGTGCATCAGCGTGAAAGTGAGTCAGGAGGGTGGCGTCAGCCAGAAGGGTTTTTACCTGCTCGAATGACGTGAGTGCGGCTGATGTAAGTTCAAAGGTGCGCTTAAAACCAGAGAGGAGACTGGTCAGAGGTAGGATGGTGTCGGCACAGTTTGGGAGAAACCGGCGATAAAAGTTCACCATACCAAGAAACCGTTGCAACTGACGCTTCGAGGTAGGGGGTGGAAAGTCCCGAATGGCGGCAACCTTTGAGGGAAGAGGCCGAATGCCGTGGGAGTCGACCAGATGACCGATAAATTCTAGGGAGGGCACACCGAGGACGCACTTTGACGGGTTGAGGACAACGCCAAATTGTTGAAGGCGGTCAAACACCGTTGCCAGATGCTCCATGTGTTCTTCGGTGGTGGAGCTGGCTACGAGAAGGTCGTCGATATAGGCGTAGACAAACGGTAAGCCGCGAAGCACTCTGTCTACGAACCTTTGGAAGGTCTGGGAGGCGTTGCGAAGTCCAAACGGCATGCGCAGGAACTCAAAGAGACCAAAGGGGGTGGTAACGGCCGTCTTCGAAACGTCCTCAGGGGCTATGGGAATTTGGTGGAAAGCACGGACCAGATCGATCTTCGAGAATACAGACTTGCCGAATAGGGCACCGGCAAAATCATGAAGATGTGGGACAGGATAGCGGTCCGGGACAGTAACGTTGTTCAGGGCCCTGTAATCACCGCAGGGGCGCCAGTCACCAGTGGCAGCCTTTGGAACCATGGGGAGGGGTGAGGCCCATGGGCTTTCAGACTGGCGGATGATGTCCATTTGAAACATGTGCCCGAATTCGTTCTTGGCGGCAGCAAGACGTGTAGGCGCGAGACGGCGTGGGCGTGAAAACACGGGAGGGCCGGTGGTCCGAATGTGGTGAACAACGTCATGTGGTGGAATAGAAACGTTGAAGTTGGGACGAGTGAGGCCGGGGTATTTGGCGAGGAGTTGCCGAAATTGATTCTCGGGTTCAGGGTCCAAGACGGCAAGATGACGGGAGGCGTCGGAGGAAACGATACCCCGGACAGTGAGGTTGGTGGTCTTGTCGTGTAGACGTGACTGACGGCAGTCGACCAGAAGATCGAAAGCGGCGAGGAAATCTGCACCAAGAATTGCACAGGGGATGTCAGCAACGACGAAGACCCAAGGGAAGAGACGCCGGAGACCGATGTCCAGAGAGAGGGAACAGGTGCCAAATGTGGTAATCGGCGATGTGTTGACGGCCTGTAGGAAAAGACCGGGATTGGGGCACCGACGATCAGCTGGTGTGGGTGGAATGACATTTAGCTGGGCACCAGTGTCAACCAAGAAACGTCTGCCACTCCGGGTGTCGCGGACGTAAAATGTGCGACCAGGGTTAGAGCTGTCGGAAAGATTGCTTGCACTGACCTTCCGGCTGACCGGTTTTACCCGTTTGTTCTGCTTGAAAGTGAAGGAGCAAGGAGAGACGCAGCGACGGGCTTTAACACCGAAAGTAGTGCGGTACCAGCAGGTGGCAGCTGCGTTTGGACTGGCTGAATGAGAAGACTGGACATGTGGGGTGGACGGCTGCGGTTGGCTCCGAGATGAGGCAGAAACTGTGGGCTTCTGGAGAGCGGCTATATCATCGGCTAGCTTGTTGAGCTCGATCTCTAACTGCGAAATGGGAGACGCAGGAGGAGATGAGGGAGTTGAGAGCGCTGAAATAGACGGCTTGGAAAAGACGTGCATCTCCATAAGCCGATCAGCCATCTGAGTAAGTTGCGTCGCGCAAAGAATGCCGAAGGCGGGTGCCAAAATATGCCGCACTTCCGGTGGAAAATTGTCCATGATCAACGCCTGACTTTGTCGTAGAGTAGGAAGAACGAAGATTGCTGCTCGTAAGGAGTCACCAATTGTCGAACGTTGTGTTCGTCGACAAGATAAAGATTCCCAATCAAAAGTCAGGGAAGACGGTTTGAGTTGGACAACCTTTACTGCCTGAGAAAGTGCGTACACAAGGCTGTGTGGGCAGTCGCCGCAAGCGCGCTCCAAGCAAGCTGTTGTCTGCGTCCGCCCTCGAGGTGTTGTGTCAGCGCGTGTGTGCGCCCTTCGTTGTCTCAATCTCGCCAGCCAATCAGAGTGGGGGCAGCGTTGATTGGCTTCCAGCACTCGCGCATCCCATCAGCGCATCGACAAGGAATGTGAGGCGGACAGGAGGGCAGCGTGACAAAGACGGAAAGCGAGGAGACGCGAACTGCTACAGACCCCTTCGAAATCCATGCTGATGCAAACTGAATTAGTTGTTTTCTTCAAGATGCCGCATCGACTACGTCTTTATTGCCCTTTCCACCACTTTGCAACAGATGCTTGTGAGACTCACTGGTCTAAAACTACTTGAGGCTGTTCTCTCGCCAGCCTTATATATGGAGCAGAGCCCCGGCCTCCATCGAAGTTTTGAAGATCTTGGATAACGGAGAAGCCAGTTGGTCTGAGAGTTTGTTCAGGACTTTCGCGAGTACGCCGTCCGGACCAGGCGATTTATTGGGCTGTAGTTGACTCAAAGTTTTCCTTACCGTGTGTGTTGTTAAAGCCACCGTGCTACTTGTATTACTTGATTTGACAACTGGGGAGAATGCTCTTTCACCAAAAGCCGGATTCTCGGAATACACAGACGTCAAGAAATACGATAACAGGTTCACCTTGATCGAATTATCTGACAATGTATTTCCCTAGCAATGTTTTTGGCAGGGAATGCAGTCTCGGTTGCGTTTAGCCTGATTCACATATCCAAAAGACGTTTCAGCATTCACGAGATATTTTTGAGGGTTTTGATTCAGGTTCTGTTCGTTCCCTCCGTAGCAGATTCCGACATAATATGCTCTGTTTGTCGACGTCTGGCGTACTTTTCCAAAGTCTCACTTTCGATCTTAGGTTCTTCTTTATTTGTGACGTTACCCACTCTGACCGCAAAGTGCTCAGGTACCTCCTAACTGGGCAACAGCTCTCTACCAAGAGATGCATAACGTTCTTGGGAAAGAGCCAGTCGCCTTCTTGGTCCGGTGCTTGTGCAGCATTCCAGTTCATCTTCTATAGCAGATTTTTCACTCTGGGATAATCCCCTTTCCATAAATTTTTTTCAGCAGAGGAGTAGTATGTGGGGGTGAATGATTTTCCTTGCTACGGCTCGACCTCCCGAGGACTTCCGCATTAAGCTTTCTCCGTTTCTCTCTCTATCTCTGCGTGTGAAAATCTCGTCGAAAAAAAAACTATTGAGAGGGTATTTTAGACTGCGGATCTCCTGCCAAATAGTAGCTGCGTTTTTTCCTCATTCTAGAAGACAGTTTTGTGCAGTCCTGGCCGATCAGACTCATCGTGTGAGTTTTTTATTCGGCCCATCCTAAAAGCCTTCAACAGAGTGACTCTCTTCTCCGCACAAGAGCGATTTGAGATACTGGTGGGATATTTCTATGTTATGATATATTCTCCCCTTTGGGGCGTCGGAAGCAGACTCAGGCATGCCCTTTATGACAACGAATTTGCTGCAATCAACTCGAGGGCCTTGTTGTTACTTCTTACGTGCGGACATCTCATCATGGATATCCCAGCTACCATCATCCTTTGATATAGGAAGGTTTGACTCAGCAGAACTCTCATATGACTTCGCGCCTACTACGTTTCCCTGATCATTCGTCACCCTCGGTGGCACGATTTTCGTTTGCAGTGTACCCAACTTTCGATCCCTTTTATGACCCCGTGTGTCATTTTGTGGTACTCTGAGACATGTTGCTCCCTGAGATCCCGTCTGTTCATCCTTTTCCCGCAAAAAGACACTAATCGCCATTCATAGCAAGCTCCATAGACCAACTATTCCCTTTCTCCTCGGTCGACACAGCTGAGGAGGTCGTGTTTGAGTACGTTCTTTTTTAGATTCCGAGCGTCACCGATATCTTCTTTCCAGATAAATAGGGAGAAAGATTTATCGACTTCCTTATTTCCATTTTAGGTCCTTAATTTATTTCTCCATTTAGAAAACTTTTGAAGGTGTCCGAAGCATGTCATATAGAGTTCTTCCTCGAGTTTGGCTTATTAAACTCCTTGCCCGTTTAGTGGGAGGTGACATGAAATATAAAGTTGCAGTCACATTAACTACCACTACTTTTTACTTTCTTATTTATTTCAGCCCCTTCCATTCCCACATGTGACGGTTTTTTACACATTGTCCTGAGGGCGCTATGTTAAATCCCATTTTTTTACTTCAAGGATTCAAAAGACAATTTGGCGAGCATACGCCCGCGTTCGATAAATTCCCTTCAGGCCGGTACATTTATATGGCTGTTGAAGTAATGAATTATAAGATACGGGCAAGAAGAGTCGTATAAGCCACTGCTTCTCGCGTGAATATGTTCGACCAATAACTCTTCAGCACTCTGAAATCCGTCCGCATACGGCGTACTTTTATCACTCGCTCAGACAGTCAGTGGATGTTTTCACAACCGACAGACAACTGTTCAGCCTCCAACACCTATGTGCGATTTACAGCCCTTATCCGGCGATGGAGAGTGGGAGCTTCCGGCGTTCCGCTATTCTCGTCCCAAGGGATTCCAAGAGCGGACCACGGCCATGACTCGGGATGAAGGTTTATCTCTCCCGTCCAGTCCCAATGCTTCAGCACAGTCTTGCTGTCCAAAACTCAATTAGATTTTTATGTATACAAATGTTTGAAGGGTTAGATTTGTAATGTCATTTGAAGAATTGTCTTGCCACTGTTTGTCTAATTCATGCTGAGTGTTATTCTGGTAATAACTGCTAACTGCCATTCAATATTACTACTATAACCCAACGTCCTGCACCAATTTTCACACATCCCTGCCCACATCCTACCGAGTGGCACTGCAAAGACGAAATCGAACACATCTCAGTGGCATTCTTGACTTTCCCCATGGCCTCATGAGTAAATATCAGGTCCGCCTGCTTGATCATTCACGACAATAATCGGTCCTAGTCATTGGCTGTTTTTACACTTTCGCTGTCCCACCAAGCCGTATATAAATGCACAGGCCTAACGAAGAGTAAGTGGACGTGAATTTATTGATCTCGACTTTTCCAATATGTGCATATACAACAATGCAGAATCACGTTCACCTTTTATGTGTTGGCATTGTTGAGTTATCAAGAGCAGACACATATGGCTTAGGCTATACAACGTTTTCCTATCAATTCAGCTGGATTGGGAGGTGCCGTGGCTCGGTCAGTTCAGTGAATTAATGATATTAAAGTTGCCTCAGTCCAGGTTGCGTGGTTACGTTGTATTTGCAAATTACCCAATCCATCACAGTCCACAGAAAACAAATAACGGATGTGGCTTATTTGACGATCGTCCCCACAGGGTGATCGACGCAAGGAACGTACAACGGCTACCTGTACTGCCAAAAGCCGCAGCATTATTACTCATTTGCATTGAAAATAAAAGACAAACGTCACCCCGGACTCCATCACACACATCTCCATCCCAGTTTAGTCTAGGACTTAGGACGGGACATGTGCTGGCAGTGTAAGTTATTTATTTGTCATATTCAATAAGTTCAAAATTCCCACCCGTCTTAATGTCATTTTCGTCCTCCACAGGTTTATTGATCGCATTCTGCGCCATCTTGAGTGAAAAATCTAATCCTTTTGTAGGAGTTAACTAGTAAAGCACCAGGCATTGAGTCTTGTGCTTTCTCTATGGCCTCAGTCGAATAACGAGAATTAATTTGATTTGATGTATTCTCGTAGTAGAGGTTGATCTGGAATAAAACAGCAGTCACATGCCTTCACAGCACAGTAGATGTTAGCCTGAATCCAGGACGTAGAGAGTGACTTTTCTTAGCAAAATTAAAAGCTGCCAAAAGAGCGGATCAATGTATTTTATAGTAGAACATACTTTTCACACAAAATAGCAAATAGAGTACCTGAAATATATAATAATGCAAGACATGCTTTGAAAAGCAATGGAAGTACGTCATCCAAAAGAAATCTGAAAAGACAAGGTAAAGGAAGGGAGAAGTTAATCAATTCAAAAGTAAATAAAAATAGAGGCAGGTAATTTGTGTAACTGCGGACAGCAGTGTTAATGTAAACCGAATAGATTCACTGAAAGCAGGTGAATTTTTGTGCTGTTGAATATATAAAGATGCATTTCTAGCTGCAACCAGTAACGAAACAGTACTGACTAAAAATGCAAATGAAAGGGAGATTTGAAATATATCACAGGATTGACATCAAAAACAGTAACAGATCTAACAATTTGGTTAAGATATCTTAGTAAGATATGCGAATGGTATGGAATGAAAGCAAGAAAAGATTTAAAACTGATGTGACAGTGAACAGTGATGTGAGCCAAATAAAAAAGTACTAGCAAGAGCGTGACAATTTTATGACAAATACAACTGTTTGCGCGAGTATCTTTTAAACCCACTACCACGCACTGCTCCCACATAACGGTATACCTGGGAGTTTAACAGGGGAGAATGCTCGGGAGGCTATTTTAGTTTAGGAAATGAGCGATACTAACAGCAGAGATTGGAAAATTTACCTTTCATATATTACAATTTATCTTGTCATTTGCTAAGGGACTTGGGCGACAGTTGAAACCGCATATACCAGACATGCGCGCGCAGTTTCAAGTGGCGCGCCGCGGGCAATGATAATTACTATCTAAGTTAAGATTCTCACTGGTTAACAAGATAACAAAGTGTGCGTAGAGTTGCGAGTTCAATGTTCACCTTAATTAAGTCTTATTGAACGTAAAACTTTATCCGCTACTTAATGACAATGAGCATTTAGTGGGTGTAGACGGCTTGTTTAGT